TTTTCTAAGAAGTGGTTTTACTTTTGGCTAAGGCCTAATAATATTGACTTAACTGAAATATTGTTGAACGCAACCAAAAATACATTTTCAGTCTTTGCAAGAGAAATTATTAAAATAAACCTGTATCGACTCCTGCAGCCATTGTTTAACAATAATTGTGTGCTGTGGATTTTATAAGTATATAACTGACTTTTTTTTATCTGTAAGATGTAATTTTGAGTGGTTGCTGGCACTTGTAGTTTGTTTGGTTGATTCAAGAATAAATATTTTGCTTCAAGGTATTTGCTCCAGCCTTGGATGGATTTTTCTGGTAAAAAGTTATTTGTTGATAGGCATCACTGAACATTATCTATTGTACTGTTACATGTACTGGCTGTTAGGATTAGTGTGGTTCATAGCTATTTGCTTTGTGGCCTGTAAAAGCCGCCTTTGGCAAGTGAATGAATAAGCAAAAAAAAGTTTGTTAATGAATGAATGCTCTGTTTGGATGAAGAAAGAAACCTTCCATTAGCCGATGGGACCTGAGCATAGTTTACTCTCTTCATTTTTTTCCTTTTTCTTTTTAGCACCTACACCCTGCCTGGGGTTTGGATATCCTTGAAGTCTAGACTACTTCAGGCTAGTTAGTTCACATAAGGAGGCTGCTGTGTTCAGCGGTTGGAATGTGTATATGGGGTGGCCCTAACCTAGCTTCAATGCCTGCTACTCTCTGAGTAAAGTACACTCCCAGACACTTTTTCAATAGATTGGGGAAGATCAGAAAAAAGAAAAAACTCAGCTTTCTATTTCATACCACTAACAGTTTCTCTTGGTGCCGATTTTATTTTACCCACATTCATATTGCAAGTACTCCTTTTATATATATATATATATATATAATATTAGTGTTAAATATACACATGCATATATATTTGTATAAAAACTAAATCCAAGAGGATAAAATCCATGTAGAACTCAATGTCTGGTACAGAGTAAGGATATAATAAAAAGGCTTAAACACTAATATTCCATGGTCATAATTTACAATTCCAATGGAATAAATTATGACCATGGAATATTAGTGTTTAAGTCTTTTTATTATATATATATATATATATATATATATATATATATAGAGAGAGAGAGAGAGAGATAGAGATGATGAGAGAAAATGTTAAAAATATTAAAATTATTTTAGCAAAGATGCATTTTGCCACCAGAGAGAATGTCTGTTCTCATTGGCTTCTTTAGTTTGATAATGTGTTCTTCTATTTCATAATGAATTGTTCAGTTTGATAATGTATTCCTCTGTCTGATAATGCATTCTACCTTTTGATAATGCATTCTTCTGTCTGATAATGCATTCTTCAGTTTGATAATGCATTATTATTTTCCATTTGTCTCATCATCTTCACTTTTATTTCAGATATTATAAATCCACCCCCCCCCCACACACACACACACGAGATAAAAATCAAATATGGATTGGAATCTGACAGGATGATAAGATGAACAATTTTTAAATATATAACATGAAACGTTACTTTTAGTGGATACCTGTATTTGAGTAGATGGTCCATGCTACAAGGGATAGGAAATTGTGGAGAGCCATGATCACATTTTGAGAAAAAAGGAATTCTAAGCTATAAATTTTAATGAAACAAATATGAATTTCCTTTTCAAAGAAATAGATGACCCTTGGTCTGATCTTATTTTTACTATAAAAACTGTGCTTTCTAAGTGGGGGAATGATTTTATTAATAATGGCTTAAAATAACCACAAAAATCTTTTAAGAGAAAAATCTTTTTGATTTTCTTGTTTCATAATCAAGTCATGTGAGTTGATATATCTTCTCTCTCTCTCTCTCTCTCTAGTATGAATAATCATGAGTTTTTTGGTGTTTTTTTTCTTGTATTTTAATAGAGAGATTGTGTCATTAACTGGTTTCATATAATTTCATCTTTTATCGAAAATTATAAAATCAGCCATATGTGTGTTTAGCAGAGGGTGGAGGTCTATTCAAAATTATCATTGCTCAATAAAAGGTTCACTGATGGAAAAATAAGTTTGAACACAAAACATTAGAGAAAATATTTAAAAAAGAAAAAAAAATTATACAATGGAATATGTGCATACTTAGAGACAGTGGATCAAGTAATTGCAAACAAATTATAATGTAAAGAAAAACAAAGACTATAAAAAATAGGTGTAGATATACAATCGGTACTACAACCAGAAATAATCATCTTTTTGTTTTTTTTGTTTTCTTTTCATATTATTTTAGATTAAGCAGATCAGATAATAAACATCAAAAAAAAAAAAAAAAATTTAGGGGGTTCAGTTTGCTATGTAAATTCATTGTAAATTGATCCCCCTACTAAAGCCAAGACATAATATGTTCATAATTAATATCTTAAAAATCAAAAAAATATTTAATTTGTAATCTGGTGTATTTTTTTTTATATATCTGCTATAAGTTAGGTACTTCAAATTATGTTATATAAAAAAAAATTATTTATTATTTTTTTTTTTTTTTTTTTTTTTTAAGAAATCATGTGATAGGATCATATTTTGTTTGAATTTCATAATCTGGAGGACATAATGTTTAATATTAAAATTTGAAAAAATGATTATAACCAGGTTGCACTGTTATATTCCGTGTTAATAGGAATATGGAATGGACAAACACAGTGGATAAATAGTAACAAGTTTATTGTAGAAACCAGTTCAACAAGCAAGGAAATAATAGTTATACGCACGGTCGTCACAAGTCAGTACAGTTGTGTGCATGCTGATATCGGAAGGCCGCTAGTTTCGCAGATCCCAGCTCAGCTCTCCTGTCCACTGTCCTAACGGATACTACCTATAGTGCTACCACTCATGGGGGTGGTAGGTTATTCCATTACATCACACTGCCTATTGTAGAACTTCAACAAAGATTATACATGTGTTCCGCTTATAGAAACAGGACAAAGTTATTCAATAAAACTAGCCTCAGCTTCAAGACCTTGGAAGTGACTCCATTCCCAGATCAAGAGGTTCTGATTCATGTTTACCAACTCGTCCATGGTGACAACATTGAATGAGTCCTTGGTATTACAGGCTGCTGTTTGATCTTCCTTTTCGTGATTCACTAAAAACTTAGTAGTTCAGGAAAATTCAAAACAGAATAACTAGGAGGCTATATGATAGAAAAGACCTGATCATGAAAATTGTCAGGTCATATGGAAGGATCATCAAAGATCTGCTGCTAGAACATGCACAACTTCTCCATTGATTCAGGTTTCCTACTGTTTACCTGTCCTTTTTCAAAATGCTGATTATCTTCTCCAAGGTGCTGAAGTTGGCAGCAAGTGCCAAAAGCACAATGTGATCTCTTCATTTTCAATGTCATGTTAATGCTCTTGATACATTCGGAGAAAGAAATGAGATTGTTAAAATTTGATGCATGCCATATATCTTTCATTTATGGCTTGCTAAAGGAGTTATGTTTATACAGGATGATTCCAGAAAACTTAGGTGATTGGTATTTCTTTCTCTGTGTAGGTGTGTGTCTGTGTGTGTCAGGCCTGTATTAATTTGTGCATAGTCTCCTCTTTTTTTGATATTATTTCTACTTCACTGATTTAAATACAGGGGTGTTCCCAAAAATTTAACATCATTTTAAAAGTAATTATCTTGAAAACTATTAAGTCTAGCTCAATGAAATTCAACAGTTTAGGTATTGAACATCATAAGTGTTGTAATGGAATGTCCCACTCTCCCTATTGCCTGTGTGGACTGACTATATCAGTAGATATAGATATATAGTGAGTACAGGATATACCTTGGACTTGCTTTGGGAATTACTAGCCTGCTAATGGATTCCATGTCTTTCAGTAGTGTATTCTCTTTTACAGTAAGCCACTCTTTTTTTCATCTATGCACGGGTTGCTGTTCCTTCACTCAAGTACCACCTTTGTCTGTAACCTCTTTAAGGAGAAAACAATAAATTTATCATGGGACTAATTTCATAAGTGTTTGATATATGCACTGCCTGTGACATGGTACACATCAGGTTGGTAGTTAAGCTCTTACCAAACATGCTGTAGCATGTCTCTGGTAACATTATCAAGTGTTGATGTCATTCTCTGCTCGAGTTCATCAATGCTAACAGGAAGAGGGGGGACATAGATCAGTCCCTTCACATATCCCCATAAAAAGAAATCAGACGGGGACATGTCCGGCGTCTGCAGCAGCCATCTCATCAGAAAACATGTCTTCATCTCCACCACGCCTGATTTATCTCTCTGGCAGATTCTCAATGAGATAAGCACATACTGTCCTCTTCCATTAAATATAAAATTTTGATATGTTTCTATACATTCTGTGAAAATTTGAGGTTATTTCAACAAGAATTGCCAAAATTCGAAATGATGTTAAATTTTATAGGACACCCTGTATATCTATTTCTTACTCTGTCTGCATTTGAAAATATTGATGTGTAGTTAAGCTTCTCAGCTGCCATATTGGTAAAGTTCAAACACTTATTGGAGGTCAAAAGCCAAACTGAAATCAAAACAAGATTTATAAAAATTTGACCCCCCTCGGAAATTTTTAAAAAGTTATCATTAATTGATTTACTGAGGATGAAGGTCAATTTCTGTCATTGTAACTCAATGGCAGCTTGACTGGAAATGAGGGAAACTTTCTACTACAGACCAATGACCATTATATAGGAGATTTTTTATGGCTTATCAACCTTTTGCAGCTTATTTAAATCCAGAATATACTTTTAGATAGTAGAAAATGATTAGAAATAATGATTTTTACTGATACAAGTTCTACTAATTAACCCATAGGTGGGGCTATTTAACTTATAGATGGAGGGAGGTGATGAATTCATACCTTTCCCAAGGGTATTTGCATGTAAGTGAATATAACGAACCTGACTGGAATTGGAACTTGGCTCTACAATTTTCAATTCTAAGCCATTATCCATTACACGATCCATATATCCAAGCTTATAGCACCTGGTATTAGTATTCCCAAATGGTCACCCATCTAAGAACTGACCAGGCTCAATGTTGCTTAACTTCAGTGATTGTACGAGAACCAGTGTTTCAACATGATATGGCTGTAAACCCATTTTGTAGGAGTTGATGTGTCATAATTGTAAGGGTTTGAAAATGAACACAATTTTAAGGGGTAACATTGTTAAGCTGCCAACAGGTCTGAACTTCACTTTCATGACTGCTAAAAAGGTAGACATCAATGTCTTCTCAAATTCTAAAAGGTCCATTGGAGCTAATCTGAAAAGTCTGTAAATCTGTTTTAATCTGAGTAAGTACTGACTTCAAAACAAGAAAAGTAAAATAGACTTCACTTAAAAAGAAGAGATGGAAATTTTTATGATGAATAGCGTGAGCCCAAAATATTTCAGATGCTACATTACAAAATGGATGGATGCTTCCACTCCTCTTCAAAGAAGGAAAAGGCTAACTTGTCTGTTGGCACTTATCCAAGACCAACGCTTTAAGCTGCATTACTTAAAAAGTAAACATAAAAATACTTATTTCTTCCAGTGGCAGTGATGGAGATGTTAGTTGTATTATTCATGTCTGCTTGTGTTTTTCATTTGAAGTTCATTTGATGAATCAGCCATCTTAGCTTGCAATCAGAGAGAACAGGAATGTCTGCAAAATGAAACGAAGAAAATCATTTATTACTTTTTTTTTTTTTTTTTTTTAAAAAAAAAAAAAAGACCAGGTGTGACAAATGAGATCTACAAAAGTGTTTGCTAAAAGTAGCTTTAGGTATTTTTATCTATTTAAATAAAGGGATAGAAATTAAAGAAAAATAGGCAATGTTTAACCTTCATACCCAAAAAGTATCAAAAAGGCAGTTATTCTCTTGACACTGCTATTATTATACTATAGTATACTCTTTTGATTCCCTCAACAATGTTTACAAGATGATAAAATATGCAGACCAAGTATGTGATATTTATTATTTATCTTTTATCTATATAACAAATGCAAATGTCAGTGTGTCAATGTGTCACACTTTTTCAAATTAACACCAAGAGGCCATAGCCCAACATATCATGCCATTTTGGAATCAGGCCGATTCCATGAGCAAATTAAAAACATTCCGGGCTGGATCTGGACCCACATTCCTGAAATTTAGGAGTCCCAAGTTTTGTATAATAACAGTTTTTATAACTTGAAAATAAACTTGAGAATAATCAAAATTCGTTGTGAAAGTTACCCATGAAAAAAAATTGTTTGTACAGAAAGTAAGGACCTACATACATCAAATTGTCTTTAAATTAAATGGCAGCAGAAAAATTATCATTGAACTTTTAAAAGGTAAGCTTAAATATTAATGGAATACTTAGGTTATATACCATATCTATGAACATTAATGGGTATGTCCCAATCCTCATAAATATGTTGGACACTGTTGTAAGTGGGGGTAATATGCTGTCTAAGTAGTCCACCACTATCAGTGGTTTACCTATTTCACGCCGCTGGCAAGTATTGTATTTTGTTGATGTTATAAAGATTACCATTCCATTTCCAACCTCCATTTTGGTTATTCCTCATTCAGTAACCATTTCTAGGTTACAACAACTTAAATGCAGTGATCAATTTTGAGTTCTTCTGTAGTTTATTGTTGCCTGTCACATCTACTCCTCCCTACCTATTGTGATGAAGGCCCAATCAAGAGCCCTCTGCAGGAACTAGCTTAAATGATGTCTAATAGAATGGCTTTTAAGCTAGTAAAAATATAAATTTTAAAAATCTTTTTATTAAAATTATATATAAAAAATTACAAAATTGTCAAAATATGTAAACCAACTACAGTGTAACCCGGATATAAGAGAGTTGTTGGGACCGGAGAAGAAGTCTCTTATATCAGGGTTTCTCTTATATCCGGGTTTGGTCTATTTTATATACATTAACACAGGCTCTAATTTGGGACCTGAGAAAATCTCTCTTATATCCGGGTTTCTCTTATATCCGGGTTACACTGTACAAAGCAATACTTATTAATAACTGTAGAATAAGAAAATTTAAATAAACATGACATAAAGTAAAAGAATGTTTGGTTCAGAGGAAGAAATGCTCTCAACTGATTTTAGTGAATTTATACAGCAGCTCCCTTTTCAATTAGGTTACAAAGACCAATGGTAGCAATTGAGCAAATCTGACCATAATGCTATATCCTTTATTTTTCCAAACACTGATAGACCATCATCTTTATTTACATAAACTCATATGAGATGGAATAAGATTTGAATTTCTTACATCAAGCCTTGTCAATTATTATTTTTCTTGCTTTTTTTTCCACTAAAATAGCATTTCTTCCATCTTATTTTATCTTTTTTTTTAAAAGCTTTTTCCATCTTATTCCACTAGTAGTATTAGATGGAATAAGATTTGAATTTCTTACATCAAGCCTTGTCAATTATTATTCATTTTTTTTTAAAAAGCATTTCTTCCATCTTATTTCTCTTGCTTTTTATTCCACTAGTAGTATTAGATGGAATAAGATTTGAATTTCTGACATGAAGCCTTGTCAATTATTATCCATTTTTCACTAGGATTTCTTTCATGTTATTTCTCTTGCTTTTTATTCCACTCGTAGTATTAGATGGAATAAGATTTGAATTTCTTACATAAAGCCTTGTCAATTATTATTAATTTTTCACTAGGATTTCTTTCATCTCATTTGTGTTTCTTGCACTGCAGACCCCCAACCACCATGCCACATCTGCTAGAAAGTAACATTGATTAGAAACAATGTTATTCATGTTTTTCATTTTCTCTTTTCAGTTCTCGACACAGCTGGACAAGAAGAGTTCAGTGCAATGCGAGAACAGTATATGCGGACTGGGGAAGGATTTCTACTGGTTTTCTCTGTGACTGACCGGAGTAGGTAAGTAATTCTTTTTTGACAATCTCCTGCCCTGTCTAAAAATAATGTCCAAGCACATGACCAATGGAAGTGAAAAGTCCCAGTCTTTCAAGGCTTGATCCCCAAAAGTAGAATTTTATGGCTATCCCTTTCCAAACTTTCAAATATTGCTGCTTATTTGAAATATTGCTTCATGCTCCACTGTTGGGAGTCACCACTGGTTACGTGGTTACTGGTTAGAACTGAAAAAAATTTTTTTAAGAGTTTATCTATTTCTTTATTCTTATTAACTTAACTGTTTACTTTTACCAGTCATGCCACCTTGTAATAAATTAGATGCTATCAGTATTTATCTTTGTCTACAATTTCTTTGATATATGAACACTGTAACACACATAATCAAATTTACACCATTTTCACATACACATTCATAGACACACGCACACACACATTCATTCACAAATTTATGTACACACATTCATTCACAAATTTATGTACACACATTCATTCACAAATTTATGTACACACATTCATTCACAATTTATGTATACACACATATCCATTCATAAATTTACACACATCTATTCATAAATTTACACACCCACGTTCATTCACAAATTTAAGTACACACCTCCATTCACAAATTTTTGCACATGTTCATTAAAAAAATTATGCACACACACATTAATTCACAAATTTGTGCATACACACACAATCATTTAGACACATACACTTTAATTCACAAATTTACGTGCACACAAATTCATATACAAATTCATACACACATTCAATCACTCACAAATTCACACACATTATATATACAGACAATCATACCTTTATACCCAAATGGATGTGCACTCATGCATATACAAACTCAAACACTGAAACAGTTTTATAAACGTAATAAAAATAAAATGTTTTCCTTTGGTTAATAAAAATTCTGTTAGTTTTAATCAAATCTTTTGCTCAATATTTACATTCCCCAAAATTTCTGATAGAAGTGAGCTTTACAAATTACTTTTGGAAGCATCTACAGTCAAGATAAAATTCTCACATAAAATAAATTTGATGACAAATTGCAAATCTGAAAGAAAATCCTGGTTTCTAAAGATTTAACTTATCAATTACATGATAAAGGAGGTAGAGACTTGTCAGATGTTTTCTAAATATTAGATTTGATATGAAATTGGCAATAAATTGGTAAAATAAAAATTCTGTTTATGTTAACACCAGTGACAAAGAATGTTAACCTTTTTGCTATCTCACCTGTTAAGTGCAAAAATATGTTGGTGCTTAAATGTGTTAATAATTATTTTAGGAGTATAGTTTTTTATGCAGATTTTGGTTTCAAATTTGTAAACCAAAAGTCATGCACTAAATGCTGATATGAAATTCCTCGAAATTATTTGAGCTTCAGACATAAAATTAAACAATTCATTCAACTTGACAAAATAACAGAAATTTGTTTCAGCATCTGAAAAATTGGAAGTTAGATTTCAAAATATAAAATTTCTCAAAAATTTTCACAGGCATCAGTTTGAAAAAACAAATAAGTTTCACTATTTCAGACTATAAGTTTATTCAATCAGCCTTAAATATCCTATTGTTATTCTCTTTTAATAGTGACTGCATTTAACATGCAGTCACTATTTGCACTTTGACTATTATCAATCCCAATACTTACTTTGTTATTCTTTTTCTAAATAACTCGGCGGGAAAGTGAGGTTATTCCTTCAGCCAATATTCCCACTGCATACGTCCCTAAATATCACATTGTTATTCCCTTTCCAAATACTTCAGCTTTCTCATTGAAAAAGTGAGCCTTTTTCATCAGCTAATACTTAATAGATCTCTATAATTGTGCTATCAATTAGGATTGAAAATAAATCAATTGCATCTTCAAGCTACATATTTACCATATCTATCACTACCTTTTATTTTATTTTCATGAAAACTAAGTCCATATCTACTGGACCCATGACAAACCTCAGCCTTCTTATGAGAATATGAGCAGATATGTCATAAATTGATGGTCATTGTCAATTTCATATCAATATTTCATTTCATATTCATGACAAGCCTTCTTATGAGAACATGAGCAGGTTTATTTGGACTATTGTCCTCATCTTTGTCGCCATATTTATTACAATGTTTCGGCCGTTGGTTGGAATGTCGAACTGAACCCTTTATTTCACTCACTGAAATAGACTGTTCTAGTTCCACGTGCCATGTTTTTTTAATGAATGTCAGTTATCTCCTGTTAATTGACAGATGAGCAGGTATGTGACAAATTGATTGCCGTTATTAATTTCAATGTTGGTATAATTTTTGGCCAGTTGTACCCTTTCTAAAAAAAAAATGTGTGTATTTGAAAGAACATCAGATATGGAATTAAACCCTTTTGCAATCTCCTGACAGATATTTGTTAATATATGAGCAAATATTTTACAGTCAATAAATCATGAAATTTAATTCCTTGCACATTTATCTCTATGATAAATCAGATGATTATATTTCCAGCAAAGTTTTCTCTGATCATTAAGGTCACTCACTTTGTAATTAATGCTTTGTCTTAAAGATCTTGCTTTCTCAACAGCTTTGTCATTTCAAAATTTGTCTTCCTTTTTTTTTTTTTCTTTTCTCATTCAGTAAATGTGTCCCCAAAGCAGACATTGAATATTGTGCTTTTCATTCATACTTTTCTTTCTTTTTGTATTTTCCTGTAAATCAATTATTTAATCACTGTCTTAAGCTGCAATCTGAATTCAATTCCCTCTTTTCTTTTTTTACCATTGTAACAGAAAAACTCTTTCAACGTATCTCAAAACCTGGAGTCCATACCACAAATTTTATTTTGAATATATGTCAGATGTGTGTGTTTTGTGTGTATGCATGTGTATGTTTTGTGTATATGCATGTGTGTTTTGTGTGTTTGTCCTGTGTGTTTGTGTGTGTGTGTGAACCTGACAAAAAGGAGATCTATATTATTGATATTCTGTTAAATCTGAAAGAATTTTTTTGCCATAGAATAAAAAAAAAAATCTTCACAAAAAATCTTCTAAAAATTTCTTCCCTGGTCAGAAAAGACTAGTTTTTGACAATGATTTAACAGATTGCGACATCTATCAGAGAGATGAAATTTAAATTTTTATTATTGCATTATTCCAAAATTTCATCACATCAGCAGATAGCTATTAATGTCAACAACTGAGCACAAATAGTTATTAATTAAAAAAATTAGTAATTAATATATGATATTATCCATAAAGAATGTATAAGAATGTCATTTTTGATAAAAGTTAAAAAAATAACCATAAATACATAAAATAGCATATATTGTCAAAAATTCCTTTATCCACAATATAGCTATTTGTGCTATGTTATAAATGCTTATTACCTAAACAATAATAATACTGAATAAATCTTTTTTAAACATTAAAGTATATTTAATCAAATCTCCCTAATAACTGTCACTATCTGTAAAAAGTAATTTCATTATACTCAATAATATTTTAAAAAATAGAAAATTGTGAAGAATTATTTACTGTAATATCTGAATGGAATCCCTCATCAGCTTTCTTTAATGACTTTACTAATGAAAATTTATGTCTGACTTTCAGAAAGATTTTACAAGTATATGGATGCATAGAGGATGTCATGGTTAGCAATTTGGAAAGAAAAATTGTTGAGATGAAAGTTTTTACTTTCACTTTCATGAGAAAGATATAAATCTATTTCTTCTCCCCTAGCTATGGGTTAAATAATAAAGCTGATTGGGTGCTTTTGCTTCAAGGTTATCTTACCCTAGACAACTCCACTGCCACAACTGCTGTACATGTGGTGCCACTATGTCTTTAATGGGTTACAGGACTCGTGACATGATGTAACAAACATTTACCTTGAAATTAATTTCTGTTCACAATATGATTCTATTTAGGATAGCTCATTCATACCAATACATTTTGCTTCTTTCTACATATTTTTTTTAACAAAATATTAATGGTTAATTTGCTTTCTGTCTGAAGAGCAGCAAAATTTTAATTGAATTTTGTTTACAACAAGAGAATATATTTTGTTAATTTAGTCAAAAGCCAAATTTTCTTTTTACATGGTGACCTGAATCCAAAATACTTTCATTCTCATTATCATCCCAGAGCCCAATACCAGTTGGTGTCATCGGCATTCTGGATTATCTCTCTCCTGTAGGATTATACATAGGTGCCGAAATCTATCTTTTTTTTTTTTTTTTTTACAGACATGGAATCTGCATCCAATGTCTACCAGCTTTGTACTGGTGAATAAACGGTTTTTAATTCAGAAGTGTTCTCTTTCTAGTCTAGTTGCCAACCACAGCTAGAGAATGTAGTCTACCCTGCTATTTAATATTATCTGCACACAATGACTAACCATCATTGTACAGCTTCAGGTGACTAAACGGTTTCGAATTCAGTTATCTTTCTCCTAGACTAGTTGCCAACCCCAGCTAGAGAGCCTAGTCTACCCTGCTATTTAACCCATAACTGGGAAGAGCAAAAATGGATTCATACTTTCCCAAGTGTATTTTTCCAAAATTGAATGTAACAAATTCGATTGAAGTTCAAATCAGCAAGCCAACATTCAAAATAGATGATCACTTTACAAAATAATATTATAAAAATAGATTATGAGTTAAAAAAGAAACTTTTCTGTTATTTCATCATATGCTTGTTTTTATTTTTGATATTTTGTCAATGTCTTTTTTATTTTGTAGTTTTGAAGAAATCTACAAATTTCAAAAACAAATCTTAAGGGTAAAAGACCGAGATGAATTTCCAATGATTCTAGTGGCAAACAAAGCAGACTTAGATGATAACCGATTGGTAAGTCTTTTAAACATACATACATATATATATATATAATTCTGATTTCACTTTTTCCATTAACATTTGTTCAATGCTTTTCATTGCAAGAGATGAGTGCTCAATATTTCCATGTTGACATCTTCAGCTGCCATTTAAAATTTGTCTGCAAGGCAATAAAGCCTCTAAGACACAAGGAGTTACTGAGTGTGAAAAAAATAAGAAAAAATAAACATTATTAAGGAGTGAGAACAATAAAGGAAGAGGAATCATGAAGCCAGTAGATAACAATTGTCATTGCATTTAAATTTTTGATGATCAAAGTTAACTAGGAAGCCAGAAGACAGTTCCACAAGTGAGAAGTGCAAGAAAGAACGAGACCTGGTTTCCAATTTAGTATTGTGCTTAATTTTATGAAGCAAAGTTCATCAGAACAATTACTATGAAAATATTTAATAGAAAAGGCACAGGGAAGATACATTACAAGAGTGGGAAAGTGACTGAAACTCAGATGCCAGGACAAAACCAATAACATTGCAGATTCTCTTCATCAAGAATCTCTAAAAAAAAAAATTTTTCCATGTGAATATTTTCTTAACAATTTTTGAGAGGTAATAATGATTTTCAGATACTGATAAACCCATAGCTGGAGTAAAGAAAATAGGTAAATTCATACATGGATATTTACATGTAAATGAATGTAATTAACCTGAATGCTCTCTGTTTTATTATTCCAAGTTGTTATCCATCCCACTATCTGCACATCCAAGCTTGCTATGCCTAGTACTCCCAAGCAGTCACCCATCTAGGTACTGATGAAGTTCAACATTGCTTAACTTCGGTTCATTGAACTTTAGTCTCCCATTCAACAGAACTAATGTGTTCCTTGATTCTTTATTATTATCTAAAAAAAAAAAATAAAAATAAAAAAAAAAACAGAAATGGTAGTTTGTCTTTAATACATTTTCAAGACACCAAAGACCATTTTGTTTCTGTGCCTTTCAAAACAATATTTAAGTTAAATGGCTCTTGCAGAATGTTATTTCTTTCATCTTAATTTCAGTTGCTTTTTATTGCAATGACTATATGCAAGATGATCATTTGACAGCTGTTAAACAGCATAGACTAGAAAACAAGAACTGTCACCCAGTGGCACACAGTTTTGCATCCCATTCTCCCCAGAAAGCCTGTCTTGCCATGACAACTGTTCTACAAATCTAGCTACAGGAACCAGTGTTTATGGAGGCACAAATCTAACCCTATACCTTTAGCGTTTATTTTATTTAGATGCTTGGAATGGTATCTATAGATGTCCTTATGCCAGATATACAGAAGCATATGAGTTTATCCCATAATGGGAGAGAGTTTGGAAGAAGAGTTTCTGAAACTTCTGGTACTTTGGACTTGTTTTGAAAAATAATTTAATTAATGACCTTTAAAAAGGTGCTGCAGCATACCTACGATCTTCTAATGTCACACCAGCATGGTGCAGCATACCTACGATCCTCTTACAGCACATTAGTGTACTGTAGCATACCTACAATCTTCTCAGAGCACACCAGCATGCTACAGCATACCTACGATCATCTTACAGCACACCAGTGTACTACAGCATACCTACGATCATCTTACAACACACCAGTGTACTGCAGCATACCTACAATCTTCTCAGAGCACACCAGCATGGCAAAGCATACCTATGATCCTCTCACAGCACACTGATTGAAAATCACTGCTGTAGAATAAGATTTTGTCAGAATGTCTCGATCAAGGGGAGATAACAAAGGCTTGTCTATCTCGGTTTGGATTTGTTGGGTCTAATATGCTGCCTTTTTATTTTTCTAATTTATTTTAATAAAGGACTTGAAATTAAGTTTGAAATATTAGTGCTAATCAAATGGTACTTGTCTGAAATATCTGAGATGTAAATGTTAGTAATACTAAACTAATAACAATGATAAAACTAATAAAATGAGGTTGTACAAGAAAGCCGTAGATGTCATGATAGCCAATTTTACTTGTCAGAATCTATCTTACACGCTTCTGCTTTGAATATTGTTGCCACATAGTCTAATGCTCCTGCTATATATTTAGAGATTCTTGATAAAATCCAATGAAGAATCTGCAATGCCATTGGTCCTGTCCTGGCATCCCAACTTCAGTCCCTTTCCCATTGCCATAACTTAGCTTCCCTTTGTCTTTTCTATAAATACTTTCATGGTAATTGTTCGGATAAACTTTCTTCTATAGTACCCAGATTTTATGAAGTTAAGCACAGTATTAGATTGGTTGTTTGGTTTCATCATTTCATAGTTGAAATGGCTGCTAGATGTAACCATAAGTTCTATGCTAACAGTTTCTTCTCTCGCACTTCTTACTTGTGGAACTCTCTCAGTCAAATTTGATTTTCAAAAATTTAACTGCAATGTCAATGGTAATCTACTTCCTTAATACTTGTTCTTTTATTGTCCCCTCTCCTCAACAAAGTTTTTTTTTTTTTTTTTTTTTTTTTTTCTCATATTCTCTAACACTCAGCAACCCCTTGTGTTTTAGTGGCTTTATTGCCATGCCTGGGGTGAAATTATTAAAAATTACAAATTAATATAAGAATATTTGGAAATGACTTTGAAAGAATGTTTTTAGCTTTCACTCCATTGCTGAAATTTCTATTTATTCATTATTTCCTCTAAAAAAGATAAATTGGTTCCATGAAGAAAAATACAGCCATCTTGTTTTTCTCTATCAATTGAATGCTGAAGACAAAGTGTAGGCATTACTTTTATTAATAACTTATTTTATTTCCAGCTTTACAATCATTTCTTTTTTTATTTTTTTTATTAGGATGTTCTTGTTATCTTCATCATTGGGTTTGCTTTCATTAATATGTAATGAATGAAATAAGCAGCTATGGTGGTTCTATCTATCAATAGAGTGCTGCTTCCCTGCTCTTCAGAGAAGAGTACTGCTTCGTGCCCCTCGGAGCAGAGAGCTGCTTCTGTGGGTACAGGACAACTCAGGACCCAAAACAACGCAGCACTAGAAAGTTATTTTTATAACCAAATAAAAATAATTCATTAAAAATCAAAACCTTAATTATCTGTCTATATTTCTGAGATAAGGTATTATGTACATTATTTACATTATTTGGTCTATTGTCCTCATCTTTGTTGCCATATTTATTACAACGTTTCGGCCGTTGTACGCTCTGGCCATGTTTAATAGATGTTAGTTATCAGTTATCTCCTGTTAATTTCCCTCTGAAAGTTCTCCACTGCCTTAACCAGGTATTGGACTCACACTCTTTGGGTCCTGTCACTGGATCTAACACCTTTTTCTACTGTGCCATGTGTCCTTGTGGACATCTGTGTATGAATTTCTGGGTATTATAAACCTAATGTCTTCAGCAATCATTTTTTTTACCAGAGCTCATATTGCAATTTTTGTTGTTATTATCGTTTTTCTCTGGCACTCCTTATTACTGGCTCCCATATTGTATTCATTTCTATGCTTGGTCGGCTCAGGAGATTTTGTGGCCTAGCATATGTGCTGATTTCTTAAGTTCACAAATTTTCCAGTGGTGTTATTTGTCTATGATCTCAACCTGATCCCACAGAGGGTGGTGATCTCCCTTCTCTCTCTATATGTGGTCAGCCACACCTGATTTTTCCACTTCCCCTCGTGTTACGGCCTTCTGGTGTTCTTGAAGCCTTACCTTAAGAGGGCGGCCTGTCTCCCCTTTATATTTTTTTCTGCAGCCGCCACGGGATAGCGTACACACAGTCTTTAGTCATGTTCTAGGTGGGGGTCTTACTCGGGAGAGATATCTGCAAAGTGTCGTCAAGCTTTTGAAGGTTGTCCTGATGTTATATGGACTGCAGATCCTTTGTATTTTCTCTGATAACCCCTTCACATAAGGCAGACAGACTGTTTTCTGAGTGTTGTTGTCCTCCTCTTGTACCCACCTATCCCAGTTTTTTGGGACTGCTGTCATGTACCTAGGGTAGTTGTTGTGTTGTAAGGTACTACTTATACTGACCAATTCTTTATCTAATGTCTCTGGATCGTCACTTTGCTTGGTGTTGTAAACAGCGGACGATCCCTTTCTTTACACTGTATGGATGGTGGGAGTTGAAACTGAGGTATTGTCCAGTGAATGTCGGTATACGAATGTCTTGAACCCATGCTCTGTTTGAGATATTAGAACAGGAATGGGAGTGTGTTGTTACTCTCTTTCTCCATTGTGAACTGTATTGAAGGTCTTATTGAGTTCACATGGTCCAGTAGAACGTGAACATCTTCCTTTAAAACTACGTCTTATTGCAGGCATGTGTCTCTATGTTTGCCTTGTTTTTTATCTTCTGAAATGTTTTTATATTTTCAGGTCAGTAAAGACGAAGGCATGGAACTGGCCAAACAGCTAAAAGTTAGCTACACAGAAGCAAGTGCCAAAAACAGAATGAATGTTGACCAAGCATTCTATGACTTGGTTAGAATAATCAGGTATGTATTTATAACTGGGGTGAACCAAACTCTACAGCAGGTGTCACCAAACTACGACCCACAAGCCAGATCCGGGCCTTAACGTCAGTTCATCTGGCCCGCTACTTCACTGTGCTACAAATTAGCTAAAATATAATTATTTATATGGAATTATCAATAGATTGTAGTTAAACTTTCTATGTAGGAAAAATTAAAATAAATGTAAATAAAATGCCAAAATTTGGCCCGTCTGAATTTTGCATCTGACAATCATAGAAGTTTTAGGAAAATCAGTGAAATAAAAAATTTGGCAACTTTTGGTAGTGCTTTTTGTGTAAGTACCGACAATGAAGTTTCTAAGAAAAGCGATTATGAGCCTGCTGGAGCACTTATGTTTTAACTTGCATTGCCATGTTTAAACTGGTTTGAAGAGTGCCATATATAAAAAGGACCGACTTCAGCGAATTACACCGTATATTTTGCTTGAACTTATAAAATCTAAAGTATGTAAAGTCAGCACATGTAACGAGGTTGACTGATGAACATTTGTCTTGGTTGGATGCAGTAATACCAAAACGAATATTAATTATATCTTAAAAGGTAAACGCCAGTTTTACAAATCTCACTAACCTTTTCTGCTGCTTAGTTTGTGAGGTTCAGATATGTACTCACTTGGTGTGATATAACGTTTATTGCTATTGTCGTCACCTTAGATAATTTTTTAGTAAATAAGTATGTTTGTTGTTTTTATTTTTTGTTCATTCAGTGCCTTGTATTGAACAAAATGATTATCTGGCCCATGCTTGTCATTTTCTCAGTTATCTGGCCCTCTGTGAAAAAAGTTTGGTGACTCCTGCTTTAGAGGGAAGTTGTGTACAATGGTAAAAGAGGCTTTTAAACAGAATCAATGAAAACTCAGCAGATATTTGTAAAGGTCTTGATGTTAATCTGCCTGAAAATGTTGCTACAAAATTTGATCTAATATTAAAAATCATTCATTAGCCGTAATGCAGCATTTATATAACTACTGCAGTTTGGTTTGGTTTGTTTTATGGCATATCAACCTGGATGGGTTATTTAATGCCGACAAAATGTTTATTGCTTGTAATTTTTTTTTTATTAAATGTATTGCTGGTAAAAAATTTTTCCCTTTAAAAACTTATTTCTGGTAATATTTTTTCTTCAAAAAAAATTTTTTTCACAAGTATAACTGGTAATTTTTTTTTTTTTTTTTTAAAAATGTATTGCTGGTAATAATTTTTTTTTTTTTTTTTTTTTACAAAGTATTTCAGGTATGCTTTTTACCTCAGTTTCGGGGTTAACTATTTGACCATAGCTGGGCCCCTAACAGGTGCTACCACCCCAGGTCAGGGTGGACCTGAGAACACCAGCAATTAAGAGGCTGTTCCATGCTCCTCAAAGCCTCCTGATCAGACCATGCTGTTGGACATAGTTTATTGTTTTTTAAGACAGTTTGTTCTATTCAATGTTCTGGGTTTTTCTTAAGTTAGGGTTATTTTAGGAAATATAAATATATTCCTTTTATTGACTAAGAAAACTCTTGGTTGTTCATCCTGGAGAAAAGCAGTGAACAATGCTAAGAGAGTCTTTGAACAGAATCATGTTGTGCATGCAAATCTCAACAGAGATCTTTGTAAGAATCTTGATGTTAATTTCCCTGAAAATGTTGGCATAAAATGTGATCTACCGTCTGATGAATGTAGGACAGACCTAAGTCAGGCAATAAAAAGAATCATCAAAGAGAGAAGTTATTCAATACATGCTATGAAGCATTTATATAGCAACTACTGACAAAGACACCCAATGTTGCCGCATCTGCACAAAACAATGTATGACCATAGCAAGACTAAAAAGCTCACATCCACATTACCCATATTTGAGAATAGATTCATTGATGGCATTGCACAAAGTCACAGCCATTATTTAGATAAGTAAATATTTAAAGTTTTGTTTTCTTTTCAAGAAAGAAAAACTACAAAAATTATTCTAACCTGATTAGACAAACAAGAAAAGTTTACAAATTGTAACTTTTTCTTTTTTTTCATATAACTGTGTAATAAAGATTTTGCTATTGGGAGAAAAGCCGGAGTTTTTCGATTAAATTGAGTATGCTGCCAAAATTAAGCAAGTACAAAGATTTAAATATCTAATAAGTGATTTAAAAGAGGATGGAAACTGCAACACTGAAGTCTGATGGTGCATTGGGGTAGTGAAAAATGCGTTCAAAAGCTATGCAAAGTATTAAGAAACAGGAAAATTTTGTTAGAAACAAAGAAAAAATTACTGAACTGTTATGCAATATCAGTGATCTTATATGGCACTGAATGCTGGACACGCTCATCGATGATGAAGAAGAGACTTGAAGCAACAGAAACAAAAAAAAGAATACTGAACTGTTATGTAATATCAGCCCTCCTATATGACAATGCTGGACAATCTCCTCAAAGATGAAGAAGAGACTTGAAGCAACAGAAATAAAGAAAAGAGTACTGAACTGTTATGTAATATCAGCCCTCCTATATGACAATTAATGCTGGACAATCTCCTCAAAGATGAAGAAGAGACTTGAAACAGCAGAAATATGGTTCTACAGAAGAATGCTTGGAATATCATAGACTGAACATGTGATCAATGATGAAGTTTTAGAGTAGTTTTCAGAAAGAGGAAAGAGGGTTTAGAAAATTTGATACACACAGGACATATTGAAGGCAAGAGGGACAGAAGAAAGCACACCTAACCTACTTAATGAGCTTGTGTGAATTGCTGGCAGAACAGGGATTAGGAGAGATAGTGAAACAACAGGAAATTGTGAAGAACCTTGATCACGTACATCATGATGGGACAAGATACATAGAAGAAGACTGCAGCCATTAGTCTCCCTTTCTCCACCTTGGTCAATGCTTTCTTTGGGGTCATATTGCTGAGTAGGAGGGCCAGGAACAGAGATTTGTAGGAGGCAGTTGAGCATTTCAATAGAAGCAAAAAACATAATGCATAATTGTGGCTAGATTGATTTGAATTTTTTCACCAAAAATTGACAGAAAAAATATTTTCTTGCTTTCTTTATGAGTAAAATTATATCTCACAATTAGATTCTAATGTTTTTCCTATTTAGAGATAAAGAGAAATACGTAAATTGAAATCCTTCGGCCTTCATTTTTCATTCAAGTTTCATCCACCAATTTAAAAAAAAAAAAGCACTTAAGCTTTATTTGTTTTGTTTTTTTTTTTGTTTTTTTTTTTTTTGTCATTTCTTCTTTTTCTTTTTTTTTAATCAATTCACCTCAACCAAGGCAATAATGTCACTAAGAATGCAAGGGACTACTGGGAATGAAACAGAATGAAAAAAAAAACTTTAGGACACACCACAAACCGAATCCTAAACAGAAATCCTGGGATAAACCTCTACTCCTGTTCAAAATCTGTTTCTTATTGAGAACCGTCCTGGGTATGATGATAAACTACATCCACCTCCAGGGTAAGACGATAAACTACGTCCAACAGCAAGGCTTCTGATCAGGAAGCTTTCAGGAGCATGGAACCACCTCTTAATTGCTGGTGTTCCCAGGTCCATCCTGACCTGGGGTGGTAGCACCTGTTAGGGTCCCAGCTATGGGCAAATAGTTAACCCCGAAACTGAGGTAAAAAGCATTATGAAAGTGTAAAAATAGGTTTTAATACCAGAAATAAATTTTTGAAGAAAAAAAACTATTACTGGCAATACACATTTTAAAATAATATTACCAGCTATACATTTTGAGGAAAAAAATATTACCAGAAATAGATTTTGGACAAAACAAAAATATTAACAGGAAAAAAAAAACTTGTCGGCATTAAATGACCCATTGAGGTTGATATGCTGTAAAACAAACCAAATCTATTGAGGAGAAAATGTAAATAAATAGTAAATAAAATTTCAGAGTTTTAGATGTTAGAAGTATAGAGTTGTAGACTTTAGAATGAACTGGAAACCCAATCCTAATCAGGAAACACAGAATAAATCTCGACTCCTGTTCAAAAGACTAGGGAGGAGTGTGAACAGGGCGATGGGCGAACATATCCACTCCTATTGAGGAGAAAAAGTAAATAAATCATAAATAAAATTTCAGAGTTTAAGTGGAGAGGTTAGAAATATAGAGTTGAAGTAGACTTCAAAAAGAACTGGTAAACCAATCCTAAACAAGTAACAAAAGAAAAACCTCTACTCCTGTTCAAAAAGAACGGAGTAGAGATCCATCATATTTGGGTTGAACCAGTCTGGGGGCTTCTCGGGTATGTGATGGTAAAATTTTAAAACACATTCCAACAACCCATTCTTTGATATTCTGTTATTTTGTTGCTTATTAGATCAGTATCATTTTCAACTCTCCAAAATCGACAGATGATCTGTATAAAAAAAGCAAAATAAAAAAGGGGGGGGCATGCCCCCAGCACAAATGGATACAGGTTAAATATCCTTTATCGGATATTCCAAAATCCAAAATTTTTTCAGGTGCTGACATGACTTGCTATGAATGGAAAATTTCCGAAAGCAAAGTTTCTAGGTGATGTGCACCTGTTGTAAGTGACCTCATCTGCCATGGGTAGGGGTTCCCCAACCCAGCTACATAAACTACACCTGGCGCCAGTTTTTTTGTTAGCAATCAACAAAGCAACACCTTCGTTCATGGATTATTTACCAGGTGTATTATTTAAAATGTCAAAAAGTCCTTCATTTAGTGATCATATTTTTTGTAGACATACAGAAAGTACAAAACATTATTTTTACATGAAATCTTAATTTCACCACTTAAAAATGCATGTATCACATGACTAGCATCATTACCCGTATCTGTACACAAAATTTATTAAATTTTATATAAAACTACTTTCAGGGTATATATGTTATTTATGTAAAACTACTTTCAGGATATATATGTTATTTATGTAAAACTACTTTTAGGGTATAAGTTGTGTTATGAAATGTAAAGGGATATTATGTTTATGCTTGGGTTCCATTC